GAGACAGCAATAGAAGACATTCTTTGGGAGGCGCACTAGACCAGATGGTGAGCCCCTCAACCAGGTGAGACAGAAAAACTGCAAGGTATTTTGGAGTTAAAATCAGCAGGGCATGGTAAACCCGTGCCCTGTGAGACATGAGGAGAGGCAAGCACCAAGCATGAATTCAAGGTTTCTTGATAGGTAACTGATGAATAGAGGTACCAACCTGTTGAGCAAGGAATCCAGAAGGAAGAAGTGGAGGCGATATAATGAGTTCAAGTTTGAACATGTTGAGTTTGAGGGGCCCAACATCAGCTGAAGACATCCAGGAGACACAAACCTAAAACTTGAGATGTGAAACAAAGCCATGGTAGGGAGTAAAGTCTGAAAGACAGTCAGAGAAAAACTATGCAAAACACAGAGAGGTATGCAAAAAACAAGGGGTATATGGCGACACAGAGGCCAAGACATGAAAGAGCATTAAGAAAGAGTAAGTGATCAACAGTAAAAGATGTAGATATCTATAAAGATAAAAATGGAAAAGTCTTTTTTTTTTTTTTAAACCACAATTGGAAAAAAAAAAAGTCTGGATTTGACACTCAGAAGATCAGTGGCTTATTAAGACCTATTTTAGTCAAGTGAGCAGGAGTCAGATTATGGAGGACTGATGGAATGCATTAGAAATTTCAAGGATAGACTATTTCCTTCAAGAACTCTGAAAGAAAAGGGGAGGAGAGAAATTCTGTAATAACCTCAACAGTATGGGGGTTCCAAGGAATTTTTTCTCAAGAATAGTAAAGACTTGCGTATGTCTACAGACCGAGAAGATGCAAGTTGAGAGCAAGAAGAAGTTACAAGACAGCAAAGATGTACACTGCATTGAAAAGACCAATCAATGCAAGAGCACAAGTGGGTTGACAGTATTCCATTATACCTCAAATGTCCCTGAGCTTCAAAAAAAAAAAAAGAAAGAAAGAAAAATATTTCAAATATAGGAAAGGCTATAGAAAGTAATATAAAAAATACCCATGTATCCCCACATTTAAGAAATATATTACTAATATAGCAGAAAAAAATCTCCTGTGCCTCCCTTCTCTGATTACATCTTCCTTCCTTCCCTAGTAAGTAACCCAGAAGTAATCACTCATGTAAATCTTTATATTTTGCTGTATTTGAATTCATCCCTTCACAATATATGTTGTTTTGCATGCTTTATAGTTTATATAAATGATATCATATTGTTAAAAAACAAACAAAAAAAAGAGTACTTCAAAAAGTTCATGGAAAGATTCATATCTTTTAACTCTATTTTTCCATGAACTTTTCGAAGTACCCTTGACATTCTTGGGACAGCCAGAGGAAATGTGAACATGAACTGTTAGAAGACATTGTTGAACTGTTAATCTTTTTTTGCTTGGGGATGATAATGGTATTGTGCTTGTATAGAAGACTATCCTTATTCTTAGGATAATTACCTAATTAAAGGTGACATCATAATGTTTGCAACTTACTCTCAACTGGTTCCACTGTAATGAACATTTATGTGCACATATATGTACATACTCGTATGAAAAAGACAGAAAGGCATGTGTGAAGTCAAGATGGACAATGTCAACAACTGTTGGATTTGGGTGGAGGGTATATGAACGTTCACTGTCCTGGTCTTAACTTTTCTGTATAGATAAGTCAGTTGGATAATCAAAAGTGGGATAGAATATTCAGCCCACAGGTACAATATTGCTGCCAGCCCTACTGACCATATTAGTCCTCCCAAATCTTTCACTACACGGCGTTATTTGGGCAGCAGCAGGGCCTGATCCCTTAGGGCTCTAAGAAATCAACTTCGAAAAAGACATCTAAAGTCTCAGTTAAAATCATCAATAAGCACAGCCACAAACTGGCAGCTCAGGGACTCAGCCTGCAGAATTGTCTTGTTTGACAAGCACGGGGTTCTAAAAAATAAAATAAAATAAAAATGAGAAGGTAAAGGTACTTAGAAAGGGTACAAAATCAACGCATTTACCACAGTTCTTATCACTGCTTTCCATCATTTACTTCACTTACCTGCTGGCCCCTGAAGGCATTTAATTTGTGGCTTCTGATTTATAAAATACCTAATCTCTTCTAGTTACTATACCTGCTTTCTGACGGAATAAATGAGAAATGTAGCACTTCCTCTTATTAGCATAAAAACTATAGGTGAATTTCTAATGTATCACATTCATTAATTTAAATGCCAAATCTACTCCATTAACTATCTCTGTTCAAAAAAACCAAATACGAATAGACAAAAATAAAAAGTTAGGATTATATTCCCATAATTCTGAACTATATGTAGTTCACAACACATAATTTTTGTTTTTCTGGGCTACTGCCCATGCTGTTTATACTGTCTACTACACTGTTTTTCGCTGACCACTAGGATATCCTCTAATCTGTAGAATGAAGATGATACTATCTAATATGTAAAATGAGAATTAAATGAGTTAATAAAGTGTGTCATGGTAAGCACCCCATAAGGGTTAGTCACTATATCATTAATAACTCATTAATATATGTTAATAACTCTTTTGGAGCCAGGACAGATCTAACTCCTAAGAAGCCTTCTCTGATTCACTGACTCCCTATGGTCTATTTTGTGGCTAAAAAGTTTCTATTACCATCCCTAGTAGCACCTACAAAGATATTTTAATGTAAGTATCTGAAATATGCTGCTAAGTAGGGATTCACAAATGTTTCCAAGAAGACAAAAGTATAAATCTGGTTCTCCTTTGTAATGTTTTGGTTTCATCATCTGCATTCTCTAGTTGCTTGCGGATTTAATTCCAGGCCTCAGTCAGATTGCTGCGCCCTCTGACTTCCGTCTTAACCTCCTCTTTAGTGCATCCACCCTTGTAAAGTTCTTTTAGAAACAGGCAGGGTATGTTTCCTTCTCAGCCTTTTTTGAAGACTTCTTCCCATGCCTACATCTTAGGCCTTCTTCTCATCTGAATGCACACGTGTGTAACACTCTTGGGTTTTTTGACCCATACCCATTTTTCAGAAACAAGATTCTTATACTCCTGTTGTTTCCATTGCAAAAACAACTTTGTTCTATCTACCATTTCCCAAACTGAAAAAAGCATATTTAAAATATTTTCTAAATATAACCCACCTCACTCTGTTTTGTTAATTATCATTCCACCTTGTTTAGGTCACAATAGGTATTCATGCATTTGTTGTATAAATAACCTTTCCCAAGATTTTAACTGCAATTTTTATTATGCTGATGATCAATACATCTGCTTCCAACCTGACTTCCCCGATAAAATTCAAATCACTAATATCCCACTACTTGGCATTGAATGTAACATGTCTAAACCAAACTCCTCTGCTTAAAAAGTGTAGGTCCTTCCATGAAAGTTAAGGGGAAGATAATTTATTTGGCACCTAAATATTAGGTGCTAAACTATTTGCTTTAACATGTCATATAATTCAGTCCTCAAAACAATCTTATAGGGTTGTGTACTACTGTCCACACTTTACAAATCAGGAAAGAGGATCAGATGAGTTGCTATCTGGCCAAGCTCACAGAGGCAGTAAGTGGCTAAGGGAGTAGGGATTAAGTATAAACTCAGGATGATAACTTACATTTGTATCTTTTCCAATAATAATAATGTGCTATTCTAAGTACCTATGCTAGAAAACTCACATTTGTGTCCTCTTCCTCCTTACCTATCACATCCAGTATGTTGCCAAAGCACAGCACTGTGGTTACAAGCATAGCTTTGGAGTCAGACAGATCTTGATGTGAGTCCAGGATCTGCTACTTATTAGCTGTGAAATACCATAATATATTATAATGTACAAAGTAGTTCTTGGTATAAATAAGAGAGCATGTAGAGGAAGAAACGGAATAACCCTACCTGGGACAGTTACGAAAGGCTGTTCGGACAAGGCTCAGACACATGGAGCAATTAAATAACTTGCCCAAGGGTCGGCCCGGTGGCGCACTGGAGAGTGCGCCGCTTGGAAGCGCAGTGGCGCTCTCGCCGAGGGTTCGGATCCCATGTGGAGACCGGTTCCCGCTCACTGGCTGAGCGTGGTGCGGAGGCAACACGGAGGGTTGTGATCCTGTTGCCGGTCCCCGGTACGGGCGCGACACCAAGGGTTGCGATCCCGTTACCGGTCAGTAAAAAAAAGAAAAAAAAAAAAAAAAAAAAAGGAAATAACTTGCCCAAGGTCACACTTGCTCAGATATGATGGAACTGGAACTTAAAAACAAGGTCCGTTTGTCCCTAGAGACATCATTCTTTATCAGTATATTATAATCCCTACATAAGTGTTTTCATGTACTAGGTGATGTTCTAGCACCTAATTATCTGGCTCGTGGTAAAGCTTTAAAACAGCTGGATAAATGAACAGATGGACATACTAAGCATCCAAACCTATGAGAACATGTTAAAACAGAGTGGGCTTTCAGAAAACTTGTCATCACACACTAGACTTATTCTCTGCCTCATAATCACTACTGAGCAGACAAAAGCCAAACAACTGGGCGCACTGGCTCCATAGGGATACAATTTTCATGAGTGGCTGTTTTTTTTATGGCATATGGTAACTGAGTGGCCTTGGGCAAGGTATTTAATGTCTTGGTGCCTCAGCTCCTCTACAGAATAGTGGAGGTAACAACAACTACATCTCACAGAGGTGGTCAGGATTAAATGCAATAATATCTATAACTGCTTAGCATATGACCGGGGGTGGAAAAGTGCTCAATTTCAGCTAAAAGCTCCTTTATTAAAGTGGGCAGAACCTGAAGGGAGAGTAAGTGATTATAAAATAATAATTTTTAAGGTAGGATGGGCAGGCACCTTAAAGGAAATATTTTAAGATTCATAACTCCCTGTACAGAGAATTCTCATATTCATAAAATACTGATGAATACCAACACATCACCAAAAAGCTATGAATTCATAAACTTGCTACACTACTAATGATGATAAAGTTTTAGTCTCGTAAGAAATGCCTTCTCTCACCTGACTGGTTTTTGCTGTTCTGCACCTCTCCGTTATTTTGTGGCTGCTGATTTGTTAAAGCACTGCTTTCTGACTGGCTGTTTAATACTTTAACAGCAGATCCCAGGTTTGCTGCTATGACAGGAAAATGCTGACCCCTCTTTAGAAGCTGTTTATGTTCCTGGTGGCGAAATCGTGGAGGTACTTCACGAGGATACCGAGGCAAGGCCTGTGGCTGCTGTGGTGGCTGTGGTGGCTGCTGCTGCTGCGGCTGCTGCTGCGGCTGCTGTGGTGGCTGCTGCTGCTGCGGCTGCGGCTGTTGTGGCTGCTGCTGCTGATTGTTGGCTGTAGCTCGCTTGGCATTATTATTAGTGCTGGTTGCTGTGGAAGTGCCGTTATTAGAGTTGGCAGGCTGAGGCTGGCTTACACTGGGCTTTATCTGTTCTGGCACTAATCCCAACAGAAGAAAAGGGGTGGAAAAGATTAGCCAGTAAAGTGTACCTCCATAGTAAGCCATCTAAATTCAAAGGCACTAAGAAAAATAATCCCAATGGAACAGAAGCTTTAAGTGTGCAGGGATATCCTCATTCACAGGCTTAAGTTTTCTTAGGAAACATCATTGCCAAGACACAAATTTGCTTCTGCTAACTACCTATCTGATAAAGGTGTGGAGACCCTTGGCTTTCCTTTGCCAGAATGACAACTCGTGGTCACCATCTCTTCTCCCACATTACTTTCTGAGCAAAGAACACGTGCACGTTACCTAACCATGGAGCTCTCAATGACTAAAAGAACAAATGTGGTAAGTCAATTTTGGTAGTCCTAAAAGAATTCCCAATTTCCTGGTAACTGTTCTTATTCTGCTTCAGTTTTAATATGTCTGGTTGCTATTTTTCATCTTTGGAAGACAACGTAAGAACAAGGGGATAGAAAACAATCTGACAGCTTCCTTACAAAAAGTCCAAGTTAACACTGTTTTTCACTGTTAAAATATAAAGTCTGAATCAAATGAGACAAACTCAATATGAAAGTAAATAAAAAGATAATAGAATGAACCTATGAGATTAATTGAAATTGGAAAAATAATTTGCCTTAAACAAATCAGAGAACTACCTACTTGTCTATTGTATTAACAACCAGGAATTGTAAATAGTACATTTTTGGACTCCTAAAAGAGATAAAATAAGTTAAAAAAAACCAAAAAACAAAAAAAACTGATGAAATGCCTTAAAGTAGTGAAAATACACCCAATCTCTAAAACTAGAGATGGCATGGTATATGAGCTTTTGGTGCCGTGTGGACCCAGGCTTCAATCCCAGCTCTGCCTTTACTAGGCTTTGAGTCTTTGGGCAAGTTGTATAATCCTAACTGAGCCAGCTTGTCTCCTCTGTAAAATGGGGATAATACCTATACTTTCCATATATCCTATGGTTAAAGGTGCTAATTTTCTAAAACAGAGAATATAAGGCCACATAAACAGTGGCTATTCTTCAATGAATGGCATAATACTACCTTAATACTTTTGCAGCTATTATTATTCAGTGACTGGCACAGTATCACCTTATACTTTGGTAGCACTTTAATGTTTGTGTGAAATTTTGATACATCTTCACAGATACCACTGTCAGATAAGTGAAGTGAAACACCTCCATGTTACTGGTAAAGCCACTCAGAGAAAACTCTCTGTTCAAGGGTTCAGAGTTCCAGTCCAGGAATTAAAACAGCCCTGCCACTCACTGCCTGGGTTATCTCTGTGTCTTCCCCCTCTATAAAGTAGGAATAGTCTTGGTCAAGTGCCTAGCATATTGCAACCATTCAGTAAACAGAAGCTGTTTTTGTGGCTTTAATAAACAAATACTTATCAAATGCCTACAATGTACATGAAGCTGTGATTAAAGCCTTGTTTACCTGAGTTAGTTACAATAGTCACCCAACTTCTTCTTAACCACTCTCAGTTCTACGACCTCCCCTCACTTAACAATCTAGCCTCACTATTGTCTTTCTTCTCTGAAATGTGGGTGGATGTAGTCTATATCATTCATACCAGTACTATTATATTGACCTCTTATTTTATTTGAAGTGACTTCAATTTTTATAAAGTAATATAAACAAATGACAAATATTCTATTTACTACTTGGAATCCTTTCCATTCTTCTTAACGTTCACTGACAAGCCTCTTATTAATAATTTGAGCCAAGTGCTTTCTAGGCCTAATTACTTTATATGAGAAATATCTGTCTCCCAAACAATTTAACGCTCTCAATAGGTAGGGTAAATGTATATTTATTTGTGTGCCTCACACAGTAATAAGCAAATATTAGCTATTAAAAACACTTACTTCATGAGGACAATGAGGCACTAGAACATTGTAAAGTACCTCTTACGGCTGGTCGGTGAACTCAGCTGGTTAGAGCATGGTGCTGACAACATCAAGGTCCAGGGTTCCATCCCTGTAGCGGCCAAGCCGTCCCCTCCCCACCCACCCACTGCCTTGCCAAAAGTACCTCCTAACCAAAGGAAGATAAAGTATATGTAGCCATGAAATTACAGGGCTTTTACATGCTCAGTATTGGACTTAGCATGGTATTTGGCAATGTAAGCTTAAGATGGCTACAGGATACTGTAATACAAGCTTCTTTGCCACTTTATTACTAAAAAAAAAAAAAAAGCATTGTCTGACAACAATTTTATACCCAAACAAGGTAGCTATTTAAGCGAGAAAGCAACAAGAAAATAGTCTTTATATATTTAAGGAATCAGAAAATAACCTTTATGCAAACACTGAATGACCTACATGAAGACATGTATAAGAACCCTAACACTATATCAAAAGTGACCAGGAGTTCAGAAGCAGTATCTACATCTGTCATCCAGCAATCCACCCCTTCCTTCCTCAAACTCAAATAACTGCTGCATTTCTGATCGGTAAAGTGCCATGTGGAAAACAAGGCTGAGATAGGTACTCATTTCTAAAGCCAGAAAACTTCACTAGAACCAGTAAAGACATTAAGACAATGTAACTATTGATTATAAAATCAAAATAAATAATCTGAAGTAGAATCTCAGATATAAAATGGGGTCTGGTAGTAATGGGTATAGGCGGGGGGTGGTGGGTGGGAAGAGTTGCTGGGTAACAGATATAAATACTGAATAACTTTGGCTACTGTGTATGTGTAGTTAGAAATGTAAGTTAAATGTCAGTAAGCAACCAAACCACTGAAAGGGGAAAAAATGAAAATTTAAAAACTTGATCCATTCAACAGACACAGAAATGGAATTTTAAAAATTTTCAAAATTGTGGTCAATACAAAATATAAAATAAGATGCCAAGAATAAGCCCCCAAATTTCTGTAATCACAATAAATGTGGATGGATTAAATTCACTAGTCAAAAAATAAAGCCTCTTAAACTGGATTAAGAAAAAAACAAACAAACCCAAACTTAAGGAATATACTTTGTAAAAAGCACTCCTGAAACAAAACGGTGCAGTAAAGTTGGGGAGGGACGGGGAGTATAAAGAAAGATAAACCACTAAGAAATCCTACAAAAATTAAAATGAAAGCAATATTAACATCAGACAAAAGAATTCAAAAAGAGCATTATAAATGATAAGAGATATTCCATATTGATAAAAGAAACAAACAGACATAAACAGTCAAGAACTTTTATATACCAAACTTCATATACGTAAACCAAATTCAGACAGAGGGGGAAAAACTGAAAAAGGGCAAAACTATATACCGTGGAAGGAGGTAACACAACGTTTTTTTGACAAGTACCCACAAAACAGTCATAAAAAGTTCGCACATACACACACTATACGATACTAAAGAAAACATCAATAAATTGCGCAGAATATAATACAGATGATATTTATGGATTACAATACAATGTCACTAGAAAACACAAAACTAGCAAATAAAACTGCCTTAAATAAACTTCAAGTTAAAGAGGAAATAAACATCAAAACTGCAGGGATATCAATAAAATAATAGTGAAAACGCTATATATATTCAATTTCAAGATATTGCTGGGCCGGCCTGGTGGCGCACTGCTACAGTGCACCGCTTGGGAGTGTGGTGGCGCTCCCGCCGAGGGTTCGGATCCCACGTACAGACCGGGTCCCGCTCACTGGCTGAGCGAGGTGCGGGAGCAACACCAGGGGTTGCGATCCCGTTGCCGGTCCCGGTCCGGTACGGGCGCGACACTGAGGGTTGCGATCCGTTGCTGGACACGAAAAAAGACAAAAAGGGAAAAAAAAAAAAAAAAAAAAAAAAAGATATTGCTACATCAGTGCTCAAACAAAAATTCACAGTCTTAATTATTTCCAACAAACAAGAAAGCATCCAACTCAAGAAGGTAAAAAAAGAACTAAAGGAAGCAGAAAGAATTAGTAAAGATAAAAGAATTCAATGACTTTAAAAGTGAACCTATAAATAAATTCAAGGCATGGTTAAGTGAAAAAAATAAACTACTAGTTAACAAATTTTTTAAAAAATGAAAATGGAAAAACATAAGAAATTATTTTCTAAAGTTACGATATTTCTTTAGGCTCAACTCTATAAAACAGTTTGAAAAGCTGGAGGAGAGAATAGTTTAACACAGATGGCAGAGGAAGCCAGAAATCTAAATAGATTAACTATTTAGCACAGGAGAAATAAAGAAATTTATGAAGGCACTCATCAGGACCAGATAGTTTCAATGATCAACACTATCATACTTTTTTCTTTTTTGCTTTTTACTAGTGTACTTTGAAGAAACATGTATAAGTCTGCTGGTATTTAAATTGTAGCAAAGCACAGCAAAAGATGGAACACCAACATAACACTGTTACCAATAAGTCAGGCAAAATTTTAAAAATACCAAACAATGGGAATAAAAAGAAGAGATATAAATAGTACTGGGAGTAAATGTAAAGCTTCTGGAAAGACATGAAAATACTATGTGCAATCTACACCAATAAAACAGAAAACCCAGCTGAGTTGAACAATGTTCTATATAACAGGTTGGCAATCTTTGTGTAAAGAGCAAGGTAGAAAAAATTTTAGGCTTTGCAGACCACACACTCTCTGTGGTTAACTGCTCAATCCTGCCAGTGTAGCACAAAAGCAGCCAGAGACAACAGGTAAATGAATGATGTGACTGTGTTCCAATAAAATCTCATATACAGGGCCGGCCCGTGGCTCACTCTGGAGAGTGCAGTGCTGATAACACCAAGGCCACAGGTTCGGATCCTATATAGGGATGACTGGTTTGCTCACTGGCTGAGCGTGGTGCTGACAACACCAAGCCAAGAGTTGAGATCCCCTTACCAGTCATTTAAAAAAAAAAAAAAAAAAATCTCATATACACAAACAGGTAGTGGGTCAGATTTGGCCTGATCACAGAGAGAAGAAGGTCCTATATAGAGCAGAAGACAAAAAGATCCACTAAGATTTATCTCTAAAAA